TGTAAACTTGGTTTGGATTTTGTGTTTCCCTTTCAGGGTCTGTCTCCTATGGATGCATGCCAGAATGTTGTCCAGGATATCCTCCAGCGACTAGGAAAGAAAAATATGTTTGAACTTGGAATAATTGCAATGAATATGAAGGTACAGCACAAACATATTTTCATATTTTCCTGATTAATTATGATTATAGTAATTAGATTTTGTTACCTGTGGACTATTTGCCCCTTCCTCTAATAGGGACTTTGATAATACCAGTTTTCCTCCTGATCTGTGTTCAATTAATTTAAGTTTAGTTAGCAGTCAGATCGTTGGTTTCTGTGAGGAAATCAAACTGACAAGGTGGCTCGGCCCAGCTGCATGTACATTCCCTCACTCATTTGCTTTCTCACCTGAGGGAGTGAGGGAGAAAGATATTGAATGGGGAGGGCATGAAGAGGCAGAATGTGGACATGCATTCCCTTGCACATTCACTCTTTCACTCAGGTGATGTGGGGGGTAGAGAATGGAACAGGAGAGTGGAGGGAGAATGTGCGTTCATGCATTCCTTCACTTACTTAGGGGAACGGGAAGAGATGGGATTGAGGGGAGTATAAGGAGGGAGGGTGTACACATGCGTCCCCTCATTCACTTGAGGGGATGGGATGGGGAGAGTGTGGAGGAATGAGACATCTACATGTTCCCTTGTGCTCTTCACTCACTCACTAATGCAGACAGAAAGAGGACAAGGCAGGGGAGTGTGTGATGCATACATACATTACTCATTCAGGTGGGTGGGGGATGGGATGGGATGGGGGAGCACAAGGGAGAGGGTCTGTTTCTGGGAAGTTGCGCACTGCTCATTGCCCTCCTCCAACTCCCCTCATCGCACCCACTCAATCTGAACAAGTGAGTGAACATGAGAGAGAATACACATAAAGCTGGGCCTAGCCATTCTGCCAGTACAGGTGCTATTTAGTGTGCGTTAAATACAGTTTGGGGGCCTAGAGATACTCAGTTTTTCATTTTCACGTTGGTCCTGCTCCCTGAACCTCACAATAGTGGAGGGCTGACTGTAGTAGATAAATCCTAGCACTCGCTTCTTTCTCTAAAGAAGGGATAAGGCTGGATTTGCTGCAGTAATAATTGAGCCACTGGCAATTAAATATTTTTAATAATTTATAATCAATTCATTTGTCTTTTTCCCCTGGATGTCTGATATTAGGGAGAAGTTGGAGCTGCTTCATCAATGTCATTTCCATATTGCATCTGGTCTCAGGGAAAGGATTCTGTAGAACAATTGCTAAAACAATAATAGCTTGACAGAATCGAAGTATCTTTGTGATCATCTTTGGAGCCATTTCCATGATACTTGATTTTTTTATATAAAGTTTGAAGGGAGGTATATTCACAAGTGTTCTTTAGGTTTGCATCCAGTCACATAGTCGTATGAGTGCTTCAGCCTCAGCAGAGACAAGATTATTTTTTCCAAGACTAAACTAGACCATAAGCATGTAAATATGTAACTTTATCTTTATCTTACCCATATTTTTAAGTAGCAGCTGGGTGTTTGGCAGGATTATAACCACAGTTCAATAGGAGAAGTGTTTTAAATTTATTTTGCCCATTTTTTTTTTATTTTTTTTTTTGTGGTCCTGTTGACAATCTTTCACTCTCCCTTCCTCCTGGCACAGCCCAAATACTTTTTTTTTCTGAGACAGATTAATGCCATTCACTCCAAGATTTTCTCTTCCGGGCTGAATGGCAGTTTCAGATTTGATGTTGCTTCAGGAAATTAGAACTAGATCTGGTAATAAAAGGAGGGAGAGGCTGGAGATATACAGTTAGCCCTCCACACTAGTAGGTTGTAATTTCAGAGTTTTGATCATTACTTCTAAAACCCCTTTTGTTTTAGAAGTAAAATTCCTTGACCAAGATAGTAAAACAGACTTGCACAGCAACACTCGTCTCCTAAAGTTGGGCCTGCAATGTGAATGGCAGCTCCATCCGTAGGACATAACATTGCACCTGGCTCCCAAGGATGGGGCTGTTGTGTAAACATTCATATGGCAGCTCCATCCTTTGCAGGTCAGGGTGGGGGAGAATTCCTCCACTCTTTGCTGTTGCCTTCCAGAACAGAAAATATTCCCAAGGCACCCCATCCTTTGAAGACGGACAGGAAGCAAGAGATCCTCCCCATGTTGCTGCCTCCTGGAGACCAGAACACCTAGGGATTGTTCCCAAGGCTGCCCATCCTCAGATGAGTAGTAGTGGACACGTCATCACCATTGCACCGCCACTTCCGAATGATAGAGATGCCCAAGGAACATTACCCAAGGTAGTCCTGCCCTTAGGAGGTAAACAACTAGTCAACATCCACACCAGTGTCCCCCAAGGGCAGGGATGTCCAAGAAACATTCCCACATTGAACTTCCTCTCTCTACGCTGGTTTGTACATAAATTGCTTTTAACCCCTTTTGTTTTAGAAGTAACATTCCTTGACCAAGATAGTAAAACAGACTTCCTTTATTATAACAGGAAATGGGCTGAGTTAAAACTAGTTCTCCGTGTAGATTCAGCACTACTTCTCATCCCTTCATCACTCCATCCCCTTCCCTGTAACTAGATTTTTAAATTTGGTTTTTGATTCAGTCCGGGTTCTCAGCAAGTACACAACCCTCAAGTTTTCCATCCAAGCTTTCTATCATAAAGCTTTGTAAAATGTAAAAGGTTAGAGGGACTTTCAAGGACTTCCACAGATAATTTCCCAAAACAGAAAGACCCCGATGCAAGAACTGAAATTTACTGCATTCAAAATGTCTTCTTTATATCCTTCCTCTTGAATATATAAATATTAATGCTTAAAGTCCCCTCCACCTTTTCCAGTTTTGGACTGTCATTCTACTTAGCGTTTTAGTAGCCTGAACCTTACTTAGGCCTCAAATATCACCTTCCCAGCTCTTAGTCCCATCCATGTCACTTTATTTGGCAGCTGTAGCTTTCCCTACATGCTTAATGATCCCAAAGTACTGATCCAAACTTAATTGAGTTACACTAATAAACATGTTCTGTTAAAATATTACTTATCTTGAAGCAACCAGGGTGGCGTTTTTTGTAAGAAACAATTATTTATCTAAGCCTCAGCTTGTGGTTAATGATCAACATCTTTTTGATAGAAATGTAATATACGACTTCTCATGAGACATCTTATCTCTGGGCTTAAGAGGAATTCTTAC